GAATAATAATAGAAAAATAGAAATGGTATATCAAATTATTTTTAGTGATTCGCTCCAGAAGTATCAATCGTATTGCATGAAGTATTTAGCTGTTAATATTGGACTTTTAAGTGCACACATGAACATGTATATTATAAGCAAATAATTGATAAATATCTCAATTTTATTTTTCCTTAAAAATTAAGACGAATTCGTTTTCTCAGTTTACGTTGCTTAATTCAATTACGAAGTACGCTTTGAGCTTCTGATTACACAAAGGATAACTCGGTATTTCTGCTGTTCAAACGTTGGTTTATTCAATACTTAAGCTTAAGTCTGTGTGATTACGTTCACGTACAGAACATTTACCATATAAATACAGAGAACAACGTAGTAGCATATTATTATATATACGTATCAGAGCGTATAAATGAAATATGTTTTGAATTGAAGCTGCGTCTACGAATAGTAAAAGTACGTCGGTCAGCAATAAAACTCGATGGGTTCGAAACCGTATGAATTCAAAAACGAATTCGCCGTCCATCAAGTGTCAATAAACGTCAGTAAACAGGGTTGTGAGTAAGTGATATTTTAGCAATGGTTAAGCGCTTTAGGGAATCATTCATCGAGTAATATTTTCTTTAATCCGAAACCGTGCGCGATTTTATCAAAAGTAAAATGAAAATCGATAAACAATAATAATGTATACTTGTAGTGAAAATTAATACATCTCAGACTTACTTTAATTAGTTTTCCGATTTTTAAACCATGCATATACAGTCGATGATGTAATTGATCGAATATTTTACCTAAATAGGTATATTTATTTTGATTTCCGGATGTTCCGGCAGTATGAATCATTTATTTATATGATGGTTTACTAACTAAATCAAACCGACTAAAAGTTTTTGAGTTGTCAATAGTGTTTTATCTGCACTTGTCAGCGATTTCCGACGGTTTAAAGATGACGATAACGGCATATTAACTATCAAACACTGTGCAGTTATTAGAAATTATAGAGAAGTTAACGTGTAATCCGACAAGTCGTACTGTAAGTCGATTGATTCTGTTTGAGGCGACATACACTCACACGAATAGTTTGATGGCCAAAATAGATTTTCAATCGCAAAGTTTCCAAAGTTCATAAAGGTATATTATTTTGCGCTGTATGGTTATGGAAACTGTTGGGAATCGCAAGTATCGTGAGAAATTTAACGAGGGTGACATTTTTTTGGCATATTTTGTACCGACGCCGAGAGTATTATTAATTCCGACAAATTCTAAAACTTAAAATGACAAGGATAATAGAGTAGCCATATTCATGGCTCGCAGACATCAAGTAACATTAATCCGGCTGTGTTCGTTTGGAGCAAGCATATAGGACTGCAGAATGTATACAAATATCTATCGGAGTTGATATCAACCAATAATTATACGACTGTTGTGAAATGAAGTTGGGAGCAAGTGCTTTCATTTGGAACTTAGTTTACCTATCTTATAGTGTAGATGATAAGTCGAAGTTTAGCTCAAAGTTATTATCGAAACGGTTAAGGAAACTCTATACGTTAACTATATACAACCGAAGATCACATACCCATGTACGGTCATAAAACTGAGCCTAACAGGCAAAGAAACGGACTACGCTTGAGGATATTATGGGCCTACAGTTTGACCACCAGATATCGTGTGTGTGTGTGTGAGTGTGAGGAGAAAAAACAATCCTGTAACCCCGTTCCAATAACAAAACAGTATGGCAAAAGGATTATGTCCGATGACGAATGTTGTCAATTTGAACAAGATGCATTATTCAGTAGTGTCTCATTAAACCGTTGATAATAACTGAAATCTAAATCCAATCGTTAAGCTACACTATGCCGAATTGTGTCGATTGACAAGGCCGATCGACAGTGTCGGTTGATACGTTCAACTTTTCCTAACTAACATTATCTAATATGTCTAGACTAGTCAACCGACACGATATCGAGTGTGATTTATTTTTCATTATCAAAATATTTATATAAATGTAATTGACACATAAAATAAAATACAATAAATGTGTGATACTAAAGATATTGCTGTAGCTTGCGTATTTTTCGGAGTATGCTTATTGACTAAGAACATCATACACGAGTAGGCGAACCATTTGCTGGAGTACGCTTAGTTTGCACTACTTCCAGTTTTTTTATACTCATTCTCTTTTTTCTTTTCTCTGACAAATTGGTTCTACCAATTTTTTTTATCTTTTTTTCTACATTCAGTTTTTACACGCCGAAAGGTATTATGATAATATTTAAGTTTTATTCTTCGGCACAATATGATGCGATCCGGTCCGCCGGAACACGGCATGATTTAAGCCTCACGTCTTATTAAAATTGAACTTATTTAAAAACTCGTTGAACGCCATCGATGAATCATTTATAAAAAACCGAGTCTTATGTATTACCAACTATACGTTATTAAACCATTTGCTCGATCGAGCACAGTTTCGAAAACGTAGAAAATATTTGTTGTATTGATCTCCGGTTCGAATTTTGTGATTTGGAGATACATCAATTTCGGATAAAGAAAGAGAGAAAGAAAGAGAATGGTTATAAAAAATAATACGTGTTGGAAATGCCTACAAATCGAGAATAGCGGATCGTCAAACTCTAGTTCACAAGTTCGAATTCAGAACGAGTTGATTGTGCATAATATTATACCGAAATTTTATTAAAAATATTATAATTACAAACTGCAGTGCACGGCAGTTTTGAACATAATATACCGGTACATTTTATGGTTGGCGAGGTATTTTTTTTTTTTTTTTAATGAGATGACATAAGCATAGAATAAGATTATAATTATACGATAAGGTTTAAAGTTTATTGTTCATAGATATTTTCGAAAAAAAAAAAAATAATGCAATATCGTTTTCACTACGAACCACATTGCGTGAACAATGATAAACCATTCGTTTTGTATTATTGGTATATTACATGAGGGTTTAGGCACTTATGTAATTTTAAGCGCCCCTCACCCATACTTATTACTGCGAGCTTAGGTTGATAGAAAATAAGCTAACATAATATTATTACGGGCAAAATATTTTGATAAGTATTGTTCATGTAATTTATACTTATGGTCAGAATTCGCATTTTCATTGTCACTTGTAAATGCAATACCATTTTGAAGTTACTTTCATTACATGAGTGTTTTTAAAAAAAGTTTATTTTACCTTTTATTGGTTACTTTATTTAGTTATTTTAAACCTAGTTCAAGTTTTATTGTCAGTAGCAGTAATAATTGTTGTGAATCTGTTTCATCAAATAGATTTAACGCGAGAAAGGAGAAAAATTTTAGATAAAATTGATGAAACAATAAAAATAATATTTATGGATATTTTAGTTTTCAACCAAAGTTCACTAAAAATGCCGATTTCATTATTCGGATGGAATAATGTGCTTTTTGTTCGAGTTATTAATTAAAACCTAAATAAACTACTAGTGTTCATTGTAAAAAATAAACGTTCTACTCTTCTCTGATAATTTAATTATTATTTATTTAATAATTGCATTTATCGTTGGCCAAGAAAAGGATAAAATTTTGCGTTCGTGTATACGTATATTTACAGATATAAGTAATTATTTGATCGTTTAGAGTAGTGGTGAGTTTATTATTAATATTTGGGAGTGGAGTAGAGGAAAAAAATCTACAGGAGCGCATTACTGTCTAAAAAGACAAATTGCTCATTCGTGTAGGAAACGGACTCATTCCATTTATGTTGACCATCAGTTGCTTGTTTTCAGAAGATAATCGCCATTGGAAAATTCGTAAGAACCTAAAAATAAGATCACATAGACACACATGCCTATACTATATACACGTATATAAAGATAGAAACCTTGATGTATTTATTTATGTTTTACAAATACTTAAATACATGAATATTTAATAAGGTATGTATGTATAGGTACTATGAATATTCACATTGAAGTAACACTCATTAAATCTAATTTCTGTTTATGAAAACAATTGTTCTCATACAATTTTAAATATTTATTGTTTGTACAACATAATTTTGCTAAAAAACCTGTTTTCGTTGTATTTTTTTAAGGTTTTTACTTTTTTTTTTTTTTTTTTTAAAGGTATATTATATTTGTACTTATATATGTAAATATGTATTATAGAAAAATTATAGTTGAAGTTCTGATGAGTGGATTAGTATCACTAACATTCAACATCATTCAGTTCATCTAAATTGGAAATATTATTTATAAGAAATTAAACATTGATTTGATATTGCATTTTTATCAGTAAATATTTTCATGAAGAATATACTACGTTTTGAATTAATAAATAAAATATAATAGTTGTTGCTACGCGAAAAAAAGTAAAAATTAGAAAAAAAAAAAAAAAATGGTAAAACATATTTACCAAAAAACACATAAATTGACCGAAATAATGATTATTGCTTGTCAAAAAAAAATGTATACTATAACAGATACTACGTTGTATGAGGCATGTAAATGTTAAGGGTATATAAATGTACATAAATCTGTAGTTTTTTGTGTAATATATTTATGTAATCGTAGTCTACGTAACAAAAACAGTTTTGAAAGAATCGTCGAAATCGATTTTTTTTCGAAAAATATATATAATATAAATCAAAAACGTTCAAAACTCGTGAAATTATTGCATTGTGTACAGTAACAAAATAGTAATGCGTACTTTATACAATAATGTAATCTATATTTATGGCCGTTACCAATATCAATATTATATAATTAATGTTATTAAACAGTTGTGACATTTTTTTTTTCACATCATCCTGAAAGGAAATCAATCAATAATTGATTAATTATTACTATAATTAATTAATTATTAATTATTACAATTATTATAACTACTATTATTATTACTATTATTATTATTATTATTATTATTATTATTATTATTATTATTATTATTTATATTATTATATTCTTAACATCATTATCATAGTAATTATCATTTTAGCAAAATATAATAATAATAGTAGAACGACGTAAATGTATAGTATATTTAACGGCTAGGTATTTAGCCTACGGTGAAAAAAAAAAAATCACAAAACGTAAATATATATTTATACTCGTATATAGTTATCATCTAAAATGTTTGATACTCGGAGTTCGTTATGTACTCCGTTTCAATGAAAATGCTTAATAATACAATATATTATATTTATTACTATTATTATAATTTTTATTTTTTATTATTGCCAACAGGTTAGACGTAACTCATGGCCGTAGAGTCGCTTTCTTTTGGACAATATGACTGACAACACGGAAATACACATTGCAGCGTGTTTTTGAATGCTTCTCTGAAGTCTCGGTTGAAGTAGGCGTATATCAATGGGTTCAGCGATGAGTTGAAGTAACCGATCCAAAACAATACGGTCACCAGTGTTTCCGGAAAGCTACACGGATCTCCGCATAATGTCGCTATCACATACCTACGAACAGAAGGAACGTAATTACGAATTTTATTTCACGAATTCACTATTATATGTAAAAAAAAAAAAAAATATTTATATATAAATTTTCATTTCCATTTAATACCGTTTAAAAGTCGTGAAACTTGATTAAGGGTAACATTGGACAGGGATGTTGTGTAATTTTATCATGCGTGCTATACACTTGGAATTCGCTTTGAAGTCCGTGATAATTTATCACGTGTGTATTTACCAAAAGTTTTGGAAACCCTAATTATGATAATTGGTTTTGATCTGTAACGGTAAACTATATTACACTATTGGTTTTAGTTAATTGTGGTTAATTTCGGTTGAAATCACCGCGGTGTTAAATGGCATTCATAAATTATGTACATTTCTTCGGGTAAATCTTTGAGGTCCCGGGGAACGAGAGGTTAACAAAGAAGTTCGCTTAAAATCACGTGGCGCTGGAAATTCGGAAAATAAGGCCTACTGACGACGGTGGGCCAGTTGAGTAGATTGGTTGAAAAACAACCAACACATTCGCGGTATGCATTGGTATCGCATGTTTTTCAAAAGTACACGGCAACTGCGCAGTTCGAATACGGTTCAATTCTGGCAAACGGACGACCAAGGTTAGGTTCGTGACGGATCCGTCAACAGCGATCAGTAACTATACGAGACGATATGATGCGCACGGACAGTACTAGACTAACTAGCTAGGCGTCGTTGGATAAAAGACTCCGTCGGCAGGTGATCGATCGATTATACATACCATCAGTAGCGTATCCAGTCGGGGGTTAGGGAGTTATACCCCCCCCCCCCCCCGAAATTTATTAATTTGTAATGATTATTGTCTATTGATTATAATAGAAACGCATAAAATTCAAAAAAAAAGTAATATTACATTTTTTCTAACCCAACCCTCCAAAAAAAATTCCGCATACACTACTACATACGATTATTCACTACCCGATCGAACGGCGTTTCGATTCCGCAAAATGAATATGCACGTCTCGGAAACATAAGTTAATTATGGGCAGGCGTCGACGGCGTGATTAACGCGTGTTCTTTTGTCGGATACACGCGCATTACTCGATGGGAAGTACCGTAAAAACGCATGTTCGCCGCACGCGTCCAATGAAATACGAGAACAATTCAAGTGCGTATTATGTTGGTTTGATAAGTGCGCGGAGAATATTTAAATTCGACCCTATTCAAATGTTTACACCTTCTCTCGCGCCAACCGGAAAAAATGAACCGACGCCTCTGGTGAATGTATGGTGCATGGACGACGATTTAACGGTACTTATCGGTATTGATTATTACGGTAGCACTAATACAAAGGCGACGAGAACGGATAAACGCAATGCGAGCATCTCTCCGGCGAGGGATGAGAAAGGGAGGAGAGTGTTGAATTTCAAGCGTGACCGTGTCAACGATGATTTATACGAATGATTATTTCAGCACGAATGTATTTTATCAACTAGTCGACAAAAGAGCCAATAGGCGAGGGAGGATCGCGAAACGATTTACGGCCTATACCGGCGGTTCTCGATATTTATGATGCGATCCTCCAATAATGCCACCAAGATTTTTAGCTACTCTTTTATTACGATAACGCGAAAAATTAGTAATTAACCAATACTATTAATATGGTTAATATAATATTTTTATTGACAATCCTTAACTTTTATCAATGGTAATTCTCAACAATGATTATCATAATGATGTTTACAAAAACACCTCACTAGTTATTTCGTAAATCGGTGACCGTAAGAAAATTGTTGGAGACTCTCAGTTTGAGAATGGGGCAGTCTAGGCCGGAACTTCGGTCATGCTGGTACCATGGGTGGGCATAACGACGGTGATTTTATCGGACACCGGTATCTGTTGTAGACCAGGATTACGCACGATATTATAGGGAAAACATGTCCGTCTTTGTTGACGGGGAATCGGCCGATTGCCGGATCCGTGTTGGTTATCGTGTCTGACAGCCGTCGTACGAATGTGTACGTAAGTACTCGTGTGTGATATATGACGTGCTCGAAATGATGCTTGGTCGGTAAACAATATGGTTTTTGATTGGTGTCGTCGGAGGAAAATCTAAAACTTAAACATCAAGCGAATCGCTCATTGCAAATCATATTTTAAAAACTCTATAAAGATGGCTTTCGGACGCCGTTTGCCGGTAAATGGTTTCGTCACTACAATACGTGGTACGCATCGATCTCAAAAATAATTTACTCAAATGGAAGTGTTTAACCTAATTCGTTCACTGTCCAATGTTGAAATGTCAAGAAGTTTTTATTGATCATCGATCGTCGTGATTTGCGCAGTCGGCTTTGTTAATTTTTCAACTTGAAGTAATGCGCGACCGACTGATAAGTTCATTATTTGTGCCACAGACCGTACAAAAAAGATAGTTAATGTAATAAGACTTCTTTTCATGGTTTTGTCCGGTTAGGTTATAATTTGTCCGGCCAAAAAAAAAAAAAAAAAAAAAAATAGCACGGTTTATTATTAGTTGCAACGAATTCCATTATCGTCGAAAAAAAAAATATTGAATTGGATAATATTTGACGAAGCTACTTTTTCGGTCGTGTAGTTGGGAAATGTCGAGATCTTTAACGAGACCATTAAGGCTCCCCATATCACAAACATATAATTGAAAATGTAATGAAAGTCATTGATAGAAAACGGTTCGGAGACCTTCTACAGCAGAAAAATTTTATCATATAAAATACAAAGTACATACTAAGCCCTAACGTGGCACTAATACCCCCCTCTCCCCATTGATAATTGAATAGTACCCAGTGGTGGGTGATCGTGCCACTAACTAGCATATTCTGATTACAACCGTAGCGATGGTAAACAATTTTATTGAAATGCCATCCAGTGAAAATTACTTAAAATTTGTTCTAATCTACAGTGATATTTAGAGCTCAGTTTTTAAAGTATAAAATGAACAAATCAATTACAAAATTGTTTGAAATAACAAAATAAAAGCACGAACAAGAAATTAATTTAAAATCAGAACGATATGAATGGAAAATTATATTTATTTTTCAAATATATAATAAAAGGAAGCATATAATTTAAAATCCAAGCCTCACTGATATATTTTTATTCGGCACCGCGGTGTCCGTTTTAGCACTCATCGGGCGTCTCGAAAAACGATGATGTGACGTCGTGGTAGCATGCGAAACAGCCGACGAGAACAACGGAAAGTCTTCGACTCTGTCAGCTCAACGCCCCGAACGCAACAAAAAAAAAAAACAATTTTCTGGGTTACATTTATGGTTATGGATTCCAATTGTCGGGTTACAAATGATTTGGGGAATAAAAAAAGTCGACATTTTGATTTCGAGGCGCGGAGCATTAGACGGAATTCCGGACCGCTGTTGTTATCCGTTATATCCGAACGAGTACGTGGTGCGACAGAGGTATCCCGTCAGATCGTACCTCGTTTGACGAGGGTTCGCGCGAAATGTTCGAACGGTTTTTTTTTTTTGGGTAACAGCTACCAATACCTGTATACATATACTTATCGACCGCTGATTTATGCGTACGTATATTTATTTATTTTGTTTCTACACACATTATGTCAAGTCGAGTCCCCGACATCGATTATCGTTAGGCGCTTGATGAGTCCCGCTACAGGCGGCCATCAATCTGCTGGGAACAATGCACGTGTGGAATAATATCGTATTTCACGATAAAACATTTAATCATTTTTTTTTTTTTTTTCCGTCCCCGAATTCAAAGGGTCGTCAACGGTGGTCGTCACGTGATATTATTATAACGCGTCGTCGCTTCCGATATTTGCTACGCAACTCTTTCGGTGAACAATTGTATATTTCGAAAAGTACAATGTTACGCGGGAACAGCGCCAGACACAAGACACGGTTACCAACGTGGGTGCACCGACGGCGAATACATAATCGCGATTCGCGGACAGACCGATGACGGACGGGCAGGCGGCATCGACGCCATCGGGGGCGACGACGGTGTACACATTGAGAACGGCATTGCTAACGGCGTACCGGACGACCGGGTCGTGATGCCGGACGGCCCGTTCCAACACCAACGACTGGACGAATCGAACCAGTGGCTTATGTCGTCGGTGACCAGCGCCATGCATCCGGTCGACGAGAGCTGCACCGGGGGTGGCTCCAGAACATTG